ACATCCAAGATAATCCGTATGTTATGATGCTGTACGAGTGCCATATGAGTGTACCACAAATCTGGGACCAATACATTTCTTTCACAGCAAATTGTGTAAAGTTGGTCGCAACCTTTAATGAAAGTTATATTGACTACTTTGATTTGCTGCCCCACCAATCTCCATTAGCATGACCTCATCGATCAGTTTTGTAGGCCTGTGGCCAATATCTCCCGTACATGATCTCATATTTCTGAAATCCAACCCGCACCTGTAGCTCAACTAGTAAAGCGATGAAAAAGCTGGAGAAATGATCAAGAATCAAAATTCGCAGCAGTCGTGTGGAGGTCAAAATTCGCAGCAATCGTGTGCTGAACAAGGTCTCTGGTGCGCACGAGTATCATGTCTATCACTGTTATGATTGATTGAGTCACCTGATTTACAACATCCCATGTGCTTTGTTGGATCGGGGCGTGGGGGGGGGCTTGGGGATTCAACCTTTTGGACTAGGGGTGGGATCGGTCCGGTCTGGGTCGGGTTTTTGCTAAACCCGGAAATTACCCGGAAGGTCTCGGGTTATGAAAATTAGGGACCGGAACAAAGCCCATTATATTCGGTCCGAGTCGGGTTTTTGGTAGCTCGGGTTCGGTCCGGGTTCGGGTTGGACCGGTTAAAGCTCGGCCGTGAAATATGTCATTGTTTTATATTTTAACACGTATTTTCAAATGAAATTAATCAAAAATACAAACCGCAAATAATAACACAAATTTTAGTCTCCAAAATCACCAACAATTCAAATTTAAAGAAGATAATTATCTTAATATTTTATGTAGGATGTATATATATAAATAATATAGGTTTCTTAAAAATATTACGAAATAATTTTTATAAATAAAAAAGTTACTAGAGTTGCTATAAATATATTCTCATGGTCATCATTATGCTAAACAAATTCAACATATTTGTAGTCACTAAAAGTTACTAAATCTTTTTTTATCCACCGTGATTATAATCATATATTAGGAAATATTTTATTTATATTCATATACTATATTAATTTTATATTAAAAGTAATTGTTTCGGGTTTTTTCGGTCCGGGCCGGGTTATAGATTTTAAGGCCCGTTAATGAGCCCGGAATTTTCGGTTCGGTCCGGGTTTTTTTTAAATTCGGGCCGGTTAAAAAGAAAAAACCCGGACCGGGATCATAATTCGGGTCGGTCCAGGGTCGATTTCCGGGTTTCGGTTCGGTTTTTCCCACCCCTATTTTGGACAAATGTTTCTGCAATCCATATACATATAGAGCCCGTTTGGAGAACTCTGTTTTCGGCTTATCAGGCTTATCAGCCAGCTTTTTCACCAAACACGTAACTTTTACTTTCGCGCGCTGGATTGTGTAATAAGCCGAAAAAGTAAGGTTGGAGTTACTTTTCTGGCTGTATTGGCTGAAGTTACTGTAGAGGACCATTTTAGCTATTTTTACATATAATTTTTTCTTTAATTTATTAATAAAATATATTTTTAAAATATTTTTTTCTTAAATCAGCAGAATCAGCCAAAACAGCCACTCCAGCCAGAATATCATAAATTTCAGCAGAATCAGCCAAAACAGCCGATTTTGGTGCTACCAAACGGGCTCATAAGATCAAAACATATTCATTTCCAAGAAAATACTACGTAGGATTTAATCTTTATTTTTTCCAAAAATAGAATTTATTGTTAAGTACTTTGTGGTCTGATGGCATCACTGCTGATCTTCCAAAGATGAGGTCGCGGGTTCGAGTCTCATCCCAATCAAGGATGCTGACATTAAAACAAGAGCAGATACTATAATAATTTTAAAAGAATATTCCAAAAAATAGAATTTCTAATTTCTAATTGGAGATCATCAACTAAAGGGTTGGATCGGGCTGGGCTACACCAGCCCATGACTAATGGGTCCGGGTTTGACCGGGTTAGAATGGGCTGGGTTCAATATATAACAGCAAATTAAAGTGGCATGCCACGCTTTTATAATGAGTGAATTGAAAGTGTAGCTCTAACACGTCTATATAGTTTGGATTAAGAAGTCGGGGCGGGCTGGATCATATGTCACTAATAGGACTGTGCTATATGGACTTATAAGAAAAATGCAAAATTTATTTATGCAATACGAAATACAATGTTGAATTGAACGAGTGAAAAGAATCTATTACCCCAAAAAAATCTCTACAAAATTATAAGCATGAATGAAGGTAAGGATATTTTGGGAATAAAAAATTTGTTGGTGGTACATCACAACTTAGTTCACATATACCAGATGCTTCAATAATTGTACTCTCTTATTTGTATATTCCTGTCAACAAACGTCTGTCGTTAGCAAATCCTCATCAGCTGCATCATCTGAAAGGTCTTCCATTCCTCATGATTCAACCCATTTCAATTTAGGTAAGCCTTGAACCCACTCCTCCAGCGGAAAGATTCCAACAAACTCTCCTCAGCTCTCTTGTTCCCTGCATCTTCTCTCCTACAATGTAATCCTTCTACGAAATTGTGCGATCAACTTAAAAGATCTACCGCTCATACACAGTATGTATATCTTTCTCTGCACATTTCCTGATCGCTCTTTCTCTCCATCGGAAAAGATCTTGGCGCCCTCACTCCATTTCTTGCCTCTCTCCCTCCCAGGAAACCAAACCGCTAACCAGCTTATAATCATATTAATCACTCCACTCACCTTCGGCAACCAAAGGTGATTTCAACTGGTGGGTGATACAATTTCTTACAACACGGAGTGTTATATCCTGTGGCCAATTTCACTAAATCATTTCTCACATCTCTACCTCATCAGAATTCATCGGAGTTCAAAAGCTTGGAAACCCTCACATTCATCTGATTCATTCCTGGGGCCGGAAAGGTTGCTACACAACAGGAGCCTCAAATACATAGTGGTGGGTCCTTCCTTCTCACTCAAGTCCTAAAGAAGATGTCCTCTGCAGTATTATTGACTTTCTTTCTTTTCAACAAATAATATTCAGGTTATATCTACTGCATCAAGATTCTTGACTCTTGATTTTTATTTTCCCCATGTATTCTTTTGTTTTAAATGTAATTTTTATCTCATTATGTGTATACTTCAATGTCAGAGAGTAACAAACTTGCTTTAAAATTTCTGTTTGATTACATCAGTACAATTATACACTATCTATTAATATAAGAGCTGAGGAGGGTCATGTTCTCATATTTTTAGTGTGTTGCTGGAGAGTTTAGCTGTATTATTCACTTATTGTTTTCTATTCATGGTTTTTGCTGTAGAGTTTTGTTGAATATGAAACTCTATCTCATGATTCATTTGAGGGCTTTAGTTTGGTTTATTTTTATGGAATCTTCATAGTTTTGTATTTTACATTATCTTTTTTCAATGTGTGCAGTTTTTAGACTACTTTCTTGCTTTCACCTATTAATTGTTTGGTTACAAAGAGAAATAGAAAAGAAAAATGAGAGAAGAATTTGTGGGGAAAAAATGTAAGTTGTCATTTTCGTTTCTTTTAATGATAACAATGAATGCGTTTAAGAATGTAGTTTAATTTTATATACAACCAGAAAACCGGTCGTACCTCAGATCTCTTATTCTCTCCACCTCGTGTGCAAGGTAAGTTATGGCAATCGAAGAGACCCTCTCACCTCCAATCGCCACCTTGTTCACTTATGAATATGTTTTCGGCTTTTGGTAGATGTCCTCTTCTGCTGCTCAACACTTTTCTTCCGGTAGACCTTGTGCCCAATAAGCCATTACCATTTTTTTTGCTCGCTCTGTTCACCTTTGTTTAAAAATTAGTGGGCTGAATACTACATGGGAAACAATAGTCTGTACTTATGTAAAGATTTTGATGCCTACAGTAATAGACTAATAGAAAAACTTGAGAATCTCACTTTTACATTGTAATCCATGTGATCCCTGTTCTTTGATTTGTTATTAGTAATCAATGGTATAGAATATGATGTATGTGAGAGATAACTCAGGGGTGTTGAGCTTAAGAAGAGAACATCTTGATGAATAAATAATACGGAGTATATTGTGTTGGGTGGAAATTTGTGAACCACTTCTGCCAAGAGGGTTATTCATATCGACTTTAGGTCGATTATATCACGTTATCATAATTATTCATTTATGAATTGTTAGGGAGGGACGTATTGTCTATGTCGCCACAAATAGAGAGTACTACTTTTGAAAGGTCTCTCACCTACATTCATAAATTCAGGTTATTATATTCACTTATGCTATTAAATTTGTTGATTGTAGAAATTGTGTTTAAAATAAACTATACCTTTTCTGTCAGTAGAAGCTGTTTGCTTTAATGAGGGTTTATGTATCTGAAATAAAGACATGTGATGTGTATATCTGGCCAGCACTTTTGAAATTATTCATTTTTATTAAGAAATGTCATGAACTAGATAACCCTACCTGTTTAATTTGTTGTAGTTGAAAGTGTATTTTAAAACATACATATACATTGAGGCCGTGTGCCTGTAAGATCTTAATCATTGAGGTTGTGTCTAATGTGCAATAAAGGCAGGTGCTATATGTTTTTTTTTTTATATATATATATATATTTTTTTTTTTGAGAACATTTCCTCTTTTTTTTTTTAATGATGAAATCAGAAATTACAAGAAGGGAAAAAAGAAAGAAAAACAACAAACAAAGAACAAAGAAGAAAGAAAAGGAAAGAAAGTTAGAAAAACTAGCCCAACCCAAAGTACAATATAAGGTCCCTGCTTAGATAACCCCAATACTTCTTCATGAAATCAAAACTCCATTCGTGTTTGAGATGCGATCGCTGATTCTTTTTTCTGTATATCTTGATTTGAGTATTCAAGTTCTCTGTAGGTAGACAATTTTCTCTCGTGACCAACAAAGCTTTATTACATATATTCTCATTTGTATCAGAATCCCATAGATCCTCCGTTGATGAAATAGGAGTTCTCTTCTCACTTTCTGAAGCATGACCAAAAAAAATCATCTTCTGAGTGTGTACAAAACTGCTCGCCCAAAAAACCTTCACAATCAAAAGCATCTGTGTACTGGTTACCTGAGAAAATGTCCCTCGAAACCCTGACATCTGGGTGTGCACAGTAGGTAGCTTTTTCTTCATTAGCAGGTTTGTTATTCAGATTGTCTCGGTTATCAAAAGAAGCAACAATTCTTTCGAATTCTTTGATTAAAAATTGAGAAAGTGAGTCTACCCCTTGAGACATAGTGATCTGAAAAAATTCTTTGATGTGTGCTAAGGAAGATTCAACTCCTGGTACGAGCTCGGAGCTATAAACCTCCATGGTATTCAAAGCCAGAGGTTTCTCATAGGATGTGGTATGATTAATATCAACTTGTAACAGAGTTCCCGAGATAGATGATTCATGATAATAAGATTTGTCCATGTCTAAGGTGGTAAAGTCCCCCTCATAGTAAGATTTTTTACTTGATAAATCCTCACGATAAGACTGTGCAACCTTCAGGAGTGGTTGTTTCGCTGTGGTAAATTGGACCTGTTTAGCAGCTAATTTCCTGAGTTTGGTAATCGCCTGTGTAAGATGTGTTAAAAATCTAGTAATACCAACTCCATTTTTACCCTCCGGTATAAACAAAGAAACATCTCCCGAAAATATCCTAACGAATCCCCCAAAATGATTACTATCAAAAGTGATAGTAATATGTCTGTTAAGAGAAATTTTGGATTCAGATTTACCGGGCAGAAGTTTAGTCAGAAATATGCTCAACCAAGTTGCACTGTCCAGATCCAATTTGATAGTAGAAAATAAACCATGTTTACTTTCTTTAATAAAAATGGAGGAATCTGATGTGTTGAAAGAAAAGTGTTTACTCTCAATTATAAGAGATCCCTGGTATAGATGTTGAGCGTCCAAATTGGTCAGATTCCCTTCCTCAGTAATTCCCAAATGCCTTGCTGACAGAGTAGGACACCTCTTCCATCTTTCATCAGAGCTTTTACCTGTGCCGTGCAATCCAGATAGACCCGCTCCTTCATAAACAGACCTGCGTGAGAGCCATCTTCGTCGACCTGCAGAAGAAAACCGCTCAAATCAGGCAGGTGCTATATGTATCTAGCCAACACTTTTGAAAACATGCATTAAGCTTTTAGTAAAACAAAATGGTCATGAACCAGATAAGTGAAACAGTTTTATTTGTTGTAGTAAAAAACGTATTTTAAAAGATATATATACCACTATTCCAGTGATAGGGGAATCTGTTTATCATTGACATTGTGTTTCTTAAATTCTGACTAAGGCGAAGTGGCAAACCTTTCTTGTTGCTGCAGTTTAAAAAAATTTACACTGCCTAATGTTCACTCTGCCTAACGTGAAGTGCATGTCAAAATTTTATGTTAAGTTGTGATATGTAGTAAACGCAGGCAGGGGCGGAGCCAAGGCACTAGGCCGGACTGGGCCGGTACAAAGAGTATTTCCGGAAATAATTTTACCCGGAATTTTTTACCCCAAAAATATAGACATTTTTAAAATTTGGGGTGGGCCCAGGCTAGGGTTGGCCCCCTATCTTCACCCCTGAACGCAGGTGATATGTTGATCTGCCTAGGGCTTTTGAGGGTTGTCAACTAGACTTTTAGACTCTTTTCTCCAACCAGATCAATATGGAACCACACTCTTCAACAAAATTGTTATACTGAAATGCTTCTACAACCTTTCTCAATACTCCCTCTACCTAATTTTATTCATACTACATTGCTACTCTATTGTAGTGTCTCTTAATACATTGACAGTTTCTTCATTAGCATTTCCCAAACAATATTTTTTTTCCTTTATAAATTTTTAACAGAGTTATTAAATATATACACATGTTATGTTCACCGCATTCCAGTTTAGCGGTATATTTAATGGGATACTTGAATTCGAAGTTTCCTGAAATTATTTGATAAAAGCTATGGATGTGGAAAAGAAAATTAAGACCCACCTAAGTTTTGTATAGCGGTTAAGGTTTGGCGTCCCTACTTAAAAATACTAGCTGTCAACAAGTAGAAATTGTTAAACAATGTTATGAACCATATTGCTAATAACATCTTTTAATAAGTATATTAGGTGCATCGGTTAATTGTATTGCTCAAGTTTGTTTCATTTATATTTATTAAGTATATTATCTTGGGGGTCTCAAAGAATCACTTATGTATATTTTTGCCTCGAGTCTTCTCATTGGCATCTGCAGATTTCAGTCACAACATCTTTGAGAATGTGGTTGTACCTGAAATGGTGGGAGTTTGAGTGGACTTCGATTATTATCTTGGGCAGAACACAATCTAAAATCTGGTATAAATAAGAGGCCAACCTGTACGTCATCCCTCCGTTAAAAAACATCTTGTTTTAAATTAGCACGATTATTAAAAAGTGGTTGAAAAGGAAATAGATGTGGTTAGGATTTAGGTAGAAATGAGTAAAATGGTGTGAAACGCTTCTTTTTCCAGAAAAAGAAGAAGATTATTTTAGGATAGACCAAAAAGGAAAACAGAAAGCTTATTTAGGGACATGCTCAACATAATCATAAAGGGTAACATGAACATGACCTCCTTTAACAAGGTACTATATTATCTTGAGAAGTAAGCAAACCTGCTTCACAAGCTTCTGTTTTACAGTCTTTAATGTTCCCAGAAACATCTGCACGAAGTAATTCTATTCAGAGGAAAACCTGCAATTCAGATCTTGCTCAAGTTAAGGAACACCATATTAGTACAATAGATGTGACTTCATGAGCTTGAGCCTGCCAGATACTTTTAGCATTAAAGTGACAGTAAGAAGAGGATTCTTTAACAATTATTTTTGAGGTTGAATTGAAATCAGATGCTTCAGAGTTCAGACATAGGGTTGACAAACTCTACACTTGGGTGTCATATCCTTGTGCTTCTCTGATAGAAGTTCCATGAGTTCTGTAGTATATTCTAATTTGCACCAATAGTATGATTTTTTTTCCCCAGATTTTTGAGGCATTACATGTATTGATAACTTTACAGGACGTTCTAAGTTTCATTTGTGTTGGGGATTTTTCCTACACTTAATTATAGTTTTTCTATTACTAAAATATGACTTCCCCAATTCCCACTCTTACTTTGAAAAGTTTTAATCACTTTATTCTTTTAAACACTCTTATTTTCCCAATAGCTGCTCTTCTCTTTGGGAAACAAAAATATATTTTCATTTAAAAAAACAACTCCAGAGTCCAGAATATGAAAATAGCAAACATGGTACTCTCTTTGTTCTGCTAAAGGTAAGGGAATTGGAAAAAATTAAAAGGATATATAGCAATAGAAATACAAGCCTAATCACCTTTTTGCTTCTCAGTTTTGATAAGTGAAAGCCTGAATGTAATGAACTTAATGAGGTAGAATGTTATGAATTGTGAATTATACTCAAAACTTTATAACACTAATTGATGTGTTTCTGTTTTTTCGACAGTTTAATCAGGTAGATATTATAGTCTCGTTTGTTTACTACAAGGATGGCGCTACAAACTATACATTCATCAAGTTTTTTTTAACCTCAAGGAGGTAAAGCACTAGGTGATTACCTATGGTCAATGAGAACTATATATCCATATTTGGTCTCGTATAGCTCTAGCTTCTAATATTTTTATTTTTGGATTTTTTGTGGTAGGACTTTTCCATTTTTATTTGTTCTTTAATTAACTATTCCATTCATAATAAGAAATTCTTTTGGAGATACTACACCAATTGAGATCTGATATGCTAGGAGAGAAGTTAAAATATTGCATGCTTTAATTCTTTAAAGAGCCATGGAAACTAAGCACATTTCAATGATGAACATGATCTACTGGAGTGCGTTAAAACGTATTCTTAAAATTATACTCCGTGTAATTTATGATATTAAGAAATTTGGTCTTTTCTCTCTCTCTCTGTATTCTTTCCAGATGCGATAAACAACTAATATGGCCTTGGGCATTACCACGAACGCGCAACGCGCGTCACGTAACTAGTGTATTGATAAATGAAAATTCAAACTACCTATATCTAAGTTTTTGGTGGTGCACTCTTGAAAAAGAGATTTACCAAATAAAGAATGAAATATCACTTATTCTTCCTTATCTAAATTCTTTAGCTCTTTCACAAACTTTTGTCACCTAAAACCGCCTAACAAAAACTTCAATCTCATCTACTATTATTCATTACTTTTATATGTTACTCTGTACTAATTATGAATGAAGTTAGTATATAGAATTAGTAATGTATATTAGAAGGGCTTCCAGGATGGGTTTATTAGGTTGGGCCGAGATGGGTCTTGACTCTTGACAGGTCTGGCCAATAATGGTGTACTAAAGGCTATGAATTATTATGTATTTGCTCAAAAATAATAAAAATAATAAAAGCGTAATAGGTTAGCACAAATTAGGTCATTACATATTGCTTGACTTATATCTATAATAATCTGGGTAGATCAATCAACCGAGTTTTAATTTGTTCAAAATGCTGTATATATAATAACTTCATGTTGGAAAAACACGACCCCCGATCTTTTCCAGGATCACGAGCTCATAGACTCTTGTACACTTATGTATCCACACACTCATAATACACTTCATCACGCGATATCTTTAAGCCTTCTTCTTTCACAAGAAGGCTCTTACTTTCCTCTTTCAAGAAGACTCTCACTTTCACTCCGATCTGCTCAAGAGTTCTCTTCAATGTTCTCATAGAAATGGGAAGCTTCTCTACACTAATATCATCAAAGCTCCACTAGAATTTTTCATACACTACTACACATCTAGATTCTTCCAAAAATATCAACAAGCTTCCCTAATATTATAGAAGGATTTAGAGAACTCCACGATTCTTCAAAATGTTCTAGCTAGAGGCTTCCACACACTTCCACACGATTTTAGTGAGTTCCACACTTCTGTAGAAAACTCCACATTATTATTCTAGAATATTCAATACCTCTCTACACACATATAGAGAATCTTGGACATATATGAGAATTCTAAAATTCTCATGGTCTCCACTAAAGAGCGAATCCAACGTAGTCTTGAGAATATTTTGATCTTTTTGTTGCAAGAAATGTGACAACATATTAGTCAAACTAAATACTTTTTTGCTCACTATAATCACGATAAGTCAACCCGTGTGTCACTAAAGGTCTAACACAATCCACAATTTTCATTCAAATGAGTGTGGTATGCAGCAGTCAATACTTGTATTCCTAGAGACACATATCTTTCCTGAAAGACTTTGCCTTGTATTTTAACAGTTAATCTAAATTATCATTAATTGATACTCCGTATTACATATGAAAAAAGAAGGGGGCACATTAAATATAATAGTAGTACTAATTTTTTTTTGCCTAAAGCGGGGTGCTTGCCCCCTCATGCCCCTCCCAACTCCTCCGCCTACACATGTGTTTACACTAAAACGATGATACAGGGA